TGTCTCGAATTGAATTATACTTCTTCTGTTGAATATTCGGTTTATCGATAAAAGTGTGAGTCTATAACCATTACTATTAATAAAACAGCATGGGGGAGGCTGGCAAGAAAATAAAGATTGACTTAATTGTCTCAGTAACTTCTAATTCACTAATTCATCAAACCCCAAGCGAACCCTGGCGTCCGCACACCTATTGTCTTTCTATTGTGTCGCGAATTACCACGATTGAAAAGATAATGAAGACAATTTTCTCAGTTCAATCGCGTGAGTTAGTCGTTTATTTCAATAAATATAAATTCACATGTTTTTTATGGTATAAGTCAGCAAACGAGCAGATGGATTATCTGATGGTAAGCAATCAGCGTCGCCCATGAACACCCGCAACGGAGGAGTTATGAGTGCGTTGCCGACCTTTTAAGGATTAGGGATTTGGAGACTCAGTGATTGAGGAGGGATTGGGGGAGGGGAAGGATTGGGCCTCTGGTAACCTCACTCACACGACGAAACACAACGCTGTGGTTGTTTCACGCCGGTATTCTGTGAAGCCGTGGTATATTTAAGGGGGAAGGCGATCCTCTATTGTTTTGTCCCGCTTAAAAACTTTATCTTTGTTATACTAAAATAGTATCAAAAGATACTTAGCCATTCCGAAAAAAATACGTCCTACAAATTAGCCTGAAAAAGAACAAAGTATTTGTAATTGTAACATATCTTTAATATTAGTAACAAATGTACTTACTTACCCTTGTATATTTACGCAAAAAGCATTCTTATGTACCGAATGAGATACGTAAGTATTCGATAGTTAGATAAAATACACATAGAACAGAAATTATGAATGTTCCATAGAAAGGCTTTGTTTTGATAAATATGTAGGTACTTAAATTCTTTATACATTTTATTATCAGATAATACAAACAAGATAAAATAATGAGATGAAATAAATGCTATGTATGATATATATGTACAAGAACTTTAGACAAGAACTTATTCGTATTTAAATAACGTTTCTTTCATTCATCATCAGCCAGGTGATCAGGTGGTCACTGCCGAGGAAATGTCTGTTCTCATACGGAGATGATATGAGCATTAATCACCACGTTTATTCAAGGCGCATTGGCGATTTCAAACTTATAATTAAGAATTATAAGTTTAGGTTTCTATACGATATTTTTCTTCACTGTAAGTCTTTTTTTTAAGTGGGAAAATCATCTACTGACTCATCTGGTCCAGAGTGAGACAGTAGAAAGTGTCAGACTCTTACTGACTAAAAACAATTCCGTTCTTTACCCCGCTCCAGGCCGAGGCTGCCATACCCTATTGTGCTTGCCTCGCAACCATATTATTTACTTGCCTGATGAGAATTGTTTATCTATTGAAAAATTTGTAATTTTGTATGTAGGGGGTAATCTTTGGGAACCGCTGGTAGGATTGCCAAAATTCTTTCACAAATATATAGCTACAATATTCCTGAGTGCTATAGGCTACAAAACATCACGCTACGATTAAATGGAGCCGAGCAGCGGGTGAAAGCGCGGGAGAGTAGCTCGTATATAAATGTGTACAAGATATATAGACGATTTCAAACAGACTTATAACTATAATATATTTTTAAATCCTTGGGATTTCCTCCTGTGTCGTAGGTACGTTTACAAACATATAATTTCACATACATAAGATACTAAGACCCGGAACAACAATTTGTTGATCACACAAAGAGTTGTTCCGTGCGGGAATCGAAACAGCGACACGTTACGCGGCAGCTAGCCACTGCGCCAACCGTGCAGTCAAGTCAAGTCTAGGTCCTCAGTAGTAGTCTTTACAAAATTTTCGTTTACTTTAAGAATGTATGAGGTGTCCATGAAAAATCTCGAGGCAAATGCACTTAAGATCATTGAAACGGGAAGCGTCGTCGTGAATTTTATTAATAAACTGTTAAAAATACAAAGCTATTTTTAAACCCCATCTAATGCCAATACGTTTATTTCATGCATATGTGAGCGTATCAGAATTACAGTAGTAGCAGAGAAATATTTTCTACGAAATAATATTTTAATTAAAATTGTTCATATAACTCATAAGCCACATCATCGTAAAAATTTCATTAAATTCTGTAAATTCAAATGTATTATATCTTATTTAATGTCCCGTAAAGGAAACCTATTATTATTGACTGCGCTGTTCTTCAGTCTGTCTGTCTGTTTGTCACCAGGGTCGCCCATAAAGAAATTGTCGTTTTTGTAAGGGACCTTTCGTACGTCAATCCATCCAGGTTTTTCATTTGATAGTAGCTACTAGCGGCTTGTTTCTGCTTACCTCGTTGTCAGTAATTTGTTTCGATAGCCACAATATCGAAATGATTTCTATTTCCAAATTTTCACTTCTATTTTCCAACATTTCTTTCGTAAGAACCTTCTCCTGATAGTTAGTATTAGTAACAAATATCATCATCATCATCATCATCTTTCTGCCCTTGTCCCGTTTTATTTGGGGTTGGCGCAATATTTTTTTTCTTCCATTCTGTCCTGTCACCCGTCACGTTATCGCTAACTCCTCTGTCTTCCATATCACTTCTCACACAATCCATCCATATTTTCTTTGGTCTCCCTCTCCCTCTCCATCTACATATAGTAACAAATATGTCAAACAAAATAATACTCAGTCAAATTGGGTTAATAGCTGTTCATGCGTGATGCCAAGACCTATGGAATTTGGGATTCTGTTATATGACACTCATATGTATATATGTCGCATCACCAGCCTGCAAGTGCTCACTGTTGTGACCACAAACTCTCAACCTCCAGTAACTACACTCACATGGCGAAACACAATGCTATGGTTATTCCACGTGGCTTTCTGTAAGGCCGTGGTGTCACTCTGGTCGGCTGACCCATTCGTGCCGAAGCTTGGCTCTTCCACACTTACTCCTCCTCACTCCCACTGTATGTGATGATAGGTCGCCGAACCAGCACATACCTGATGGTAAGCAATCAGCGCCGCCCAACACCAGAGGAATTGCGACTTCGTTGCCTACCTTTGGGGACTAGGGTTAAGGAGGCATGGGATGGGAAGAGGGGCAGGATTGGGCCGTTTGGGCCTTCGGTATCCTGACTCATACGGCGAAACATAGCGCTAAGGTGGTTTCACGCCGTTTTTCTGCTAAGCTGACCCATTCGTGCCGAAGCAAGGATTTCCCATACTTCTACATATCTAATATCTAACTAGACTAATATCTAATATCACTCTGACTTCCTCAAGATTAGAACATTCAAGTTAAATCCCCAGGCAACAATAATACATTTATAGGGTTCCGCCACTGACGTATTGTATGTTAATACGCCATCGGGTTCCGTATTAAGTATTCACGGTTCCTTAGCGTCCGGTAATCCGGTTAGTTGATAGACTTGAGGCTATATGTTGTAGCCTGCTATAGCCAGCCGTAGGTTAACGCATTAACACGTGTAGCTAATCTATGAGATAGGATAATACGGTTATTTAGAGATAATATAGGTATTTGATTGCTTATTGTACTTAAAGCACCGCAATTATAACAGCTGAGGAAGTTATTCGTTTTTGCTGCCAGAAATAATTAAATTACTATTCCTGCAGGGGCGGGGGGATGTCAGACTCTTATTAAGAAAAACTTATTTCACTCCGTTTTAACTCCTGCTCCAAGTCGGAATCATCCGCAACCATAGCTCCAGAGAAAGCGGGTCCAGGTTTTGATTCCCGGGTCCGGCAAAATTTTATTTATGTTTTTTTTTATGTAATAGGTCGGCAAACGAGCAGACGGATTACCTGATGGTAAGCAATCAGCGCCGCCCATGGACATGGAGGAGTTACGAGTGCGTTGCCGACCTTTTAGGGATTAGGGATTTGGAGATTTAGGGATTGAGGAGGGATTGGGGAAGGGGAAGGATTGGGCCTCCGGTAACTTCACTCACACGGCGAAACACAACGCAGTGGTTATTTCACGCCGGTTTTCTGTGAGGCCGTGGTATCACTCCGGTCGAGCCGACCCACAATTTTTTGGTTTTTAAGCAAATTCCAAGTATTATGAGATTCAAAGAAGTCTCACAACCTCCAATGTCCATATACCTAACCACACAGATGCCGGCAACGTACTTGTGAATCCTCGATGTTGTAGGTGTCCATGGGCTTTACGCACCACAATTTTTATCATCAGGTAATTCGCGAGCTCCCTTACCGACATACTGGACAGAAAAAAATGGTGAAAATTCAGTGTTATATTACTATGTAACGTACCAACAGTTATATTCATATGGGTAGAGAAATGTAAATATACATATATGTAAATCCTTATGTACCCTACCACCTAAGTTCACATTGTGGAATGCAATAAATATATTGAATTGAATATTGAATTGAATGGAATTGAAACACATATTCAATAAATACATTTTTTTACCATTATTCTTGTAAAAAATATTTACATACCATACATATAAAAATATGTCAAATACCTCAAACAACAATTTTGTTGTTAGGTTGTTCGAACCACAAAACTGTTTTCACAAACAGAATACGCAAGCTGTGGTTTACCGATTGCCTAGATTTGTTCATTACTAAAATTGTCTAATTAATCCCTGTAAACCAATAGGCTCTATTTATTCACACTTATAGGTACATATAGTTAAATTAAAAATAAACAATAGTGGTGTAATTCTGACTTGAGTTTGACTGCACGGTTGGTGCGGGGGCTGGGCAATTGGCTGCCGGCAACGTGTCGCGGGTTCGATTCCGGCACGGATTAACTCTTTGTGTCATCCACAAATTGTGGTTTCGGGTCTGGGTGTCATGTGCATGTAAAATTGTATGTCTGTAACCGCACCCACGACACAGGAGAAAATCCTAATGTGGGTAATCTAAACGTTTGATTAAAAGAAAAAAGAAAAAAAAGAAATTCTACGATTATTCAATTGAAATAGTAATGTCTAATCAGAAATTCATTTCAAGCTTAAATGATATACTTATTCCAGTGCGTAGTGTTCCGTGCACGCCTCAAAGAGCCAAACGACCACCACAGATAGGGCCTATTAAGACTAATGTTCAGTCGGACTTGAAGAAACGGGGTGGTTTTTAGTCAGTAAGCGTCTGACGCTCCCTTTCACCCCACCCATGAGGATTAGAAGATTTGGGAATCTACCGTTGTAGACCTGATCTTGTCGCAGCCTAGCTAAAGAATTACCTCAATCGCTCAAATAACTTGTCACATCGATACACTAACCATGAAATGACTTCTGCCGGGAATGGGGCACAAGGGAGTGTCAGACTCTTACTGACTTAAAAACCTTATCTTGCTCCAGGCCAAAGCTTCCGTACATTATTGTGCAAAACAACCTTATCTGAACCTGACAATTTGACACATGTAATTGTCGATCTAGTCCCTTTGTATACAAGCGCTGAAATACCGTTTGGCTCATAGTACTGAATTCTGACGAGCCGCGATGTTGTTAACTGGACGCACATTTCAACTACAAAACCGTCTAATTAGCCGGCCTTCTCCCTTGTCCTAAATATTTATTTATTGTAGATTATTCAATGCCACTGTGAAAATAACTACTGAACGTGACCTTGATTATTAATAGTTGTTTATTTTCAATAGTATTCGTGTCTGTTCAAAAGATACTATTTGTTTCTTTACCATACTTTTTGTGGGACAAGTGCTCCAAAGCCACTTAAAACTTACTATTTCCTGAAGGCCAGGATCTACAGTAGATACAACCATGAAAACACCGGAACACCGGAAAAAATATTCTGGCATATTGTGCCACTTTGTAAAAATTTGTTTCCACATTTTTATGACCAATTACTATTGAAATTATTTCATTCGATACGAATATCATAAATATCGTCGATTGTCTTGCCTCGTATTTTTATGTAATTATATAAATAAAGAATGTTTTTATTTGTATAAGACTCCTATAAGAAATTTCTTCTGTGCATCGGCCGAAATATAACAATTCCTGAGTCTAGCGAGTGGCGTGGGGATTGCAGTTAGGTAACAAAAAATTTAGACCCTACTTATGTTTCAGTCAATCGCAATTTTAACACCTAAAAAATTCCAATATTCATCACTGTGCAGGGAGAAATACAGAAACCCACTTTGAATAATATAAAATACGATATATATTAATTGATAAATGAAGTACCAACAGCTTATAAATATTGCGTACTTATGTTTGGGCTCATATGCCATACAGTTTTAACAATTACTCGATTTCAATTGGGTAGGGAGAAAATACAGAAAACCACTTCAAAGAATATGAAATTTAATATTTATTTATTATTAAATAAAGTACAGCTTATAAATATTTCGTGATTCCAGGTAAAATGATTGCCGAGCCAAAATAAACGAGAAGGAAATGATTATGCGTTCGCTATAATGAACATTTCATTCAAGCGAAACAGATTTTGGCAGTAAGCCTGCTAGACATTTGAATTAGTAACGGAATCACCTAAATATCATAAAACGAAATCGTTTTCTCTGTCCCCATATCCCTATTTCCCTTTACGATTTTGGTGCGTTTTTTGTTAATAAATGGAGTGATTGCAGAGGAAGGTTTATATGCAGAGGACTCCGTTCGCGTGGAATAGTGACTTCCTGCAGATTTTTGGTTTAAAAGCTATCCCATTTCCTTTCTTGAGTTCCAAACTATGTCTGTATCAAATTTCACACAAATAATTTCAGTAGTTTAGGCGTGAAGAAAAGACAGACAGACAGACAGACAGACGGAGAGAGTTACTTTCGCATTTATAATATTAGTTTGGATAGTTTGGATTATATGTATCAAATAGTGGAGAAAATTAGTATCAGAATTGCACCCGTGCAAAGCTGGGTCTGGTCGCTAGTTCTATAGCGGCTGAGGCGTAGTCGATAGTGGTATGGTATTCTCGTGATGGCTGGTTTTCCTCTGGTCGCTAGTCCTGCATACAACTGTTGTAACTCATAATGAAAATATTATTTATTCTTCAATTAGGAAATAGGTTTTATTGTTCTGAAGTATTATTGTTTTTCTATTGGTGTTTTGACACATTTCTATTAGTAACTATCAAAGAGTATGGAATCGTGCCAAGAACGACCTCAGGCTCAAACCCTATCAATTATTATTGTAGTATAGTTAACTGTACATAACTTTTATGGTTAATTGTTATGGAGAGAAGTACTCGTAGATAGTTTTTTTTTTGTGAAGGAAAAGTCATCACATTACTTCTCCCGCCCAGGGCTGGGCGGGAGGGAGTGTCAGTCTCTTACTGACTAAAACCCCCCCTGTTCCTTCTCCTGCTCTGGGTCGAGGTCGCGGTGCCTCATTGCGACTCGTAAATAGTTGAGTTTGAAGTTGTGAGTGTAAACACTTATAGAAGTCCCTAAAAGTTATAGGTATGATTATTAGGTTATTCTCACAGTGGTTCGTTCGGTAGCCGCGACGGTAGCCGCGACGGAAAATCGCCCAATAGGTACGCATATAGGCAGTCATCATAATAAAGTAAGTTTAATTAACATATTTGTGTACGTAAACCGTACAATTATTCTTCTTTACGTACATTTTCTTCTATTCTTTCAGGAATCGTGAGCGTTACATTATATTCCCACATATATTTCTATTCACTTTACAGGTTTTTTTTGTAAATTCCGCCAAACGTGCATATGGATTACCTGATGGTAAGCTATCAGCGCCACCCATAGAAATCTGCAACACAAAAGCAGTTACAATTGCGTATTTTGTGAATTGATAGCGATTTGAGGATTGGGTATTGGGATTAGGGATATAGGGGAAAGATTGGGCTACCGGTACCCTTACACGTACGATTGAACGCAATATAGGCGTTGTTTCACGCCGGTGTTCTGTGGGGCCGTGATATCACTACAGTCGAGTCGGCCCATTTGTGCAAGTATTTGTATTAAAACGTCGTGTGGCATATTAACATAGAAAATTATGTAACACTTTTTTACTGTCGTAACTCGTTTTTCGAAATAACTCGACTAATTTCTATAGTCACATTGGGGACTGATATTTATAAGCAGACTTCTGAAGAGAATTCCAAACTGGCTGAGAACAACGGCAACGTCTTCATCAAATAGCGAAGATATAAAACTATGCGCGTAAATGTCATAATAAAAAACAGTTTTAGCACTGAATCCTCATGTACTCATTTTAGTGTACAATTAAGCCGTAAAATTAACAAACTCGAGAGTTTAGTTTTTATTTTTATAAATCCATGTCATTCGTGATTTATGCTTCCTATGCCGTGTTTGTTGGTTAAAGGAAATACTGAGCAAATTTTTTAATTACTCAACAACCGTAGTTTAGGTAGTATTAGCCGCAAAAAAGTTTTTTTTTACATTTGATTTTTTCGTGGTAAGAAAATTAAGTCTGTTCGCTCGCTTCTTGCACCAACCATTGGCACATCTCTGCTTCACCCAAAGCCCCACTGGTAGAAAATGCCTGAGACATAGTCCTCCTATGCACTCATTGTGCATGAAGTTGAATAAAAATCTATACTTAATATTATAAAGCTGTAGAGTTTGTTTGTTTGAACGCGTTCGAATTGAACGACTGTTTTTGTGTTTGATTGTCGATATCGAGAAGCTATATGCTTCTATGTTATATCTAGGTTATAAAACATCACGCTACAACCTGCAGAAGCCGAGCAGCGCGTAAAACTGCTCGAGAGTAGCTAGTGAAAAATAAAATTAACGTTTTCTTTCTGTGCTCTAAGACTAGTTTGAGATTTTAATAAATTTTTGATCAATGTCCTTTAATGGTCTTTGTGGCTTTTGATATGTCCTTCTCTTGTACGTAACCCTGAAGTATCTGAGAAAGAGGAATGATTTTATGTTTTTTTTTTATTAATTTCTTTCTAGAATTTTAAGTAAGGTATGTGATCCACATAGACATTTGTTCTCTTATTTTCTTCGTATGAACACATATTATATTTAACTTGCGATTGTGAACCTACTTTCTGTGTATAAATTACTATTTTATTTAATTCGAGATCAGCCCTTTAGTTCCTCAACTGGATCGGCGAAGATTACATACATTTTTTTTTGAGTCGAAAATCATCAAATGACTTCTTCCGCCCGGCCCTGGGCGGGAAAAGCTCTATAGGGCTCCATCTGTGGTGGTCTATTGGCTCTTTGAGGCGCGCCGGCGCGCGCGGAACGCTACGCGCCATACGCTCGGGCCTGGTTCTGGTCGGGCGGCGAGCTGCCCTTACTCGCCGACCGCAGACCCGCGCTTACGGTGGCCGGAAATCATCTCTCGAACCCCGACGGCCGGAATGTCGCCTATTGCGGCGGCTGGGGCGTGAGGAGGAGGATTGCTCCTTCACGCGGGCCGCCTCCCTGTTAGCGAGCATAACCGCTTCACAGAAAGAGGAGACGGCGTCCCAGTTCCTCTCTCTCCGCACCATGGCGATCACTTCCCTGAGGACACGGTGGTACTCAGCCCAGGCAGGGCATACCGCCACCGTATGCTCCACCGTATCCTCTAGGTGGTCCTCGCAATGACTACACTCGGGCGTTTCCTCCCGCTGGATCCGAAACAGGAACCTACCGAAGCTGCCGTGCCCGGTAAGGACCTGGAGATTACATACATTAAAGTAGTAATCACACAATTATGAGCTCCAAGAAAACGTATTGACTGAGCACGTATTAGAACTAGATAGTAGTATTTATCTTTTGAATTTTTTTTTATATTTTTATATGCAATGATCAGCGTTTGCCCACCATCTCGACTGGTTGCAGATGATGCAGCTTACGTTGGAGTAGGTCTTCTTATAACCAACCAATTGATTCGACCCTTGAAGAAACCCAGATTATACACATCGGGGGATTCTGAGATAGTATTTCACTCCTTAGCGTTATTGATGTAATAACTATTTCTGTTTCCAATGACAAATATTTCGAAGGTTAAAGGAAATATTAACTGGATAATCACACAAATATGAAGTCTACCGTCATTCGTAAAAGTATACGATGACACATATTATGTACATTTTGGAAAACCGTCTTCGTTGAAACGGACTGTGTTATATTATATTTGAAAGTGTGCGTGCGTCATTTTGTCAGTAAAATTAAA